TTTTTTTTTTTTTTTTTTTGTAACGCGAGTTTTGAAAAAAAAACTGTGTACATGTATAGGCGAATAATAAAATACCGCGGGATTAACTAGAGTTTGTTTTCTAAAATAACAAAAAACTTGTATTTCGCGACGGATTGACGGTTATGTTTTATTTTTCTTCTCGTAGGGAGTTTGTACACCGACCGTCAATTTATCCGTTATATTGAAAACACTATGCACGGACATTTATAATATTTCGTATTATCATGTAATGTGCGTATCATAGTCTCGTCGCGACGTCTTTTATATTGTATTTTCGCGAGTGACCGAAAAAAAAAAATAAGTTTAATATCAAAATAATAATAACAGTCAGGTTCGGGGACTTGTTGTAGTGAAAATGATCAGGAATATGCACGCAAATATGCAGTCAAAATCGTCAAAATTTACGGGTAATTTTTTATTTCATTTTCGAAAAAAACGTATTTAACATATTATAATTTTAGAAATAAAAATCTCAAAAACAGTTAGGTACATAATACTAATCGTCGATAAATATCGGTATAGACAAAGAGACACGTACCAGCGACCGATGTACCCACAGTAATTTATTAAAAGAAATATTTTTTAAAATTATACAAATCGATTTTCCCGGCAATTGTACATGTGTAAAAATGTGAACAAATTACGAAATGTGCACGTTTACACGTGGTAAAAATTGCTAAAATATGCATTTTTCCTGAAATATCACAACATTTCCGGAAACATGAAAATTCAAACTTTTTATTAAATTTCCGAATTTTTTTAAAACAAACGTATAGATTACCCGGAATAATCTGCGACCGCTACAAAGAAAATCACGTGAATGCAGCAGGAAGTCCCGAACCCTAATAATAATAATCATAACAACAAACATTAAAGGCTTTGTTTGTGTTTATAATGTTTAAGAAACAAACATTGATAATACAATATACTATTATTGTTGCCGAGTTTTGTGTATTACGCAACGAACGAACGTCAATCATCATAAACGTCCGGTATAAAATATATTCGTGATATAGCAGCGCGTTATTTTTACGGTACCAGTTTTGTATATATTAAAAAAAAAAAAAAAAAAAAAAAAAAAACAAACTCGTAAAATTTCACGGAGTGTCTCGAAAAATAAAAAAAATAACAACCTTCCCCCTCCGTGTTAATGTTCGAATATAATCTCAATCGTCGAGTCCCTGATCCGGTGTAATTATATTACGCAGCCTCTTTACATCAATTTGTTTAATCGATTTCACGGAGACGATAAATGCATAGAATAAAAAATTACCCTCAAAAAAAAATAAAAAAATAAAAAATAAAATAAACTGCGTAATTTGCTCGTATAAACGGTATGGGGTTGAACGCGGAAAACATCGGAAGGCACGTTATACCCGATATACGAACACCGTACGTTTATCTCTTTGGTCTCGTGTGGGTCTGTAGGGGCGTACAAAGCGAGAAAAACGCTCCTTCGCAAGCGCACGGCTCAATTCGTATTGATATTCGTATACTACATCCTTTATCACTTTTATCACATAATTCTGCCTACGGATCAACCGCGGTCACCGTTTTTAATTTGGTCCAGAGGAATTCGCTAAAAGTGTTAATAGTTAATGAGTTAATGTGGTGTAGATAATATAAATAATGCAGATATTAAAATTCTAGAGTTAAGTACTAAAAAATATGAAAATAGAATATTATCCGCGTTAAAAAATCTGTCTTAGGATAATGGGGTCAGGTGTACCCACTTTTATATGTGACGAAAAACGATTCTGATAGGAGTTCGGTTGATTGTGATGCTTTTTCAACAAATGTTATATAATGGTAAAAATAGGCATTTCATTTTCCGGTTTTTCACATTGGCTGGAAAACTCTTGGTTAAATCGAAAAATCACCTCCCTAAAGTACCTTTCCGAAAAAATTTCCTTTCAGAAAAGTGTGCACGTCGCATACATTGGAACAAGCCCTCTGGTAGAAAAAGTGTTCTTTAAAAAAAAAAAAAAAGACTAATAAAAAAAACAAACATCTTTGTAAAACTAATAAACGTAAAATTATTTACCGATAACACATTTTCTTATCAGTTTTTCAATTCTAACACAGGTTCCGGATTTTTACCGTTCGTTCAACGGTAGGTACACGCACAATGTTAACTCGCCAAAAACACGTAATATATAGACGGCCGGCGTGTTCGGAAATTTATCGCCGCGCACACACGCGAATCCGAACGATTGGGCCATAATTAATCGTAAACACTTGTTAGTACACAATACACTACTGTCTGTAGTTTATTACGATGCCCGTCGGTTTACGTACAATACTGTGCAATAACGGTCGTGTATATATTCAACAGCATAGTAAAATTATTCCTCGCTTTAATATTATAACGGATGTCCCACTACAATACTCTATAATCAATGCGATATCCTAGTGAGTATTACCATTTTCGACATTTTTTTTCGGCATTTCGAGAAACCGGTAGCTATTACAATACAATTATTTTTCGTCAGCATATTTTTTTATTTTTTTTTTTTTGAACGGGGGTATACGTAACTCTTGATTTTGAAACGGCGATCTATTAGTTCGTCACACGCTGTGTGCCACCACACGAATGGTGCTCGCACTACGCTCCCCATACACAAACATAAAAGTCGGATAGATCGTTACCGGAAATTAAAATGTCAAAACCGCCGACACGTATTCGAACCAATGAACGGCCAAATTAATGTTGCCAATGTTCAATGTGCCATTTGAAAATAAAAGTGGGTAGTCGGCGCATCTCCGAAAATAAGAATGACAAAACTAAAAGCATAATGTAAAGCTATTGGTTTCTTGAATTGTAAAACAAACAAAACGCGAAAAAAATCGATACATAAATCGCAATGATCATGACGCCCTGTGTATAGGTTACACCGACTAGATTCTTCTTCTTCTTCTTCTTTCTTGGTTTCGGCCATTCAAGACCATACCTCTAGATAAACATACTGCCACCTATCCCTATCCTCTGCTACTTCCTGCCAATGACACTCCGGCTCCACTGTTTCAGTGTCCCTCCTTACGCAATCCTCCCATCTTAAACGCGGTCTTCCAAGAGGTCTCCTCCCTACTGGGTTTTCCTCTATTACTCTTCTTATTAATGAGTCATGTTTCCTCCAGGCATGTCCAGCCCAAACTAGCCTTCTTTTCTTTATCTCTTTCAGTATATCCGGTCGTTGAAAAAGGGATTGCACTTCTTCATTGTGTAATTTCCTCCATTCATTTGCGAGAACATCATAGTATGCCCCATACATTTTCCTGAGTACTTTTCTCTCAAATACTGCAATTCTTCGTTCTTCAGTCTTTCTCAGAGGCCATGTTTCTGCTCCGTACAGAACAATCGGCCTTAGCAAAGTTAAGTACATTCTAACTTTTAAATTCTTAGAGATTGCTCTTGATCTAAAAATTTTACTAAGTCCAAAGAAACATTTATTAGCTGATTGTAATCTCGTTGAAATTTCTGTTTTAATGTCGTTATCTTGAGTTATAATTGACCCTAAGTATTTGAATTGGTCCACTCTTTTAAATTTGTATTCTTCCACTTCAATGAATTCTTCTTGTACCTGATTTCCATTTCTCCGACTGACCACCATATACTTTGTTTTTTCTTCATTAACCCTTAGTCCTACTTTCTCCGCAGCCTTTATAAGTGACTTTTCAATTTTTATTATCATCTCTCTACTCCTTCCCATTAGAGAGATATCATCCGCATATGCCAGAATATTAATTGTCGATCGACCTAACTCAACCCCTNTTGTCTTAAGCCTGTCACCACTTCCACTGGTTGTGACAACGTATTTGCTAGATTTACTTTAATCTTTGCTCCATTTAAACTTGCCTCTACAAGATTAACTAGCGTTTTTGGAAACTTAAATTCCCTTAGAATATTGATTAAGCTTGCCCTGTGGATAGAGTCGTAGGCTTTCTTGAAGTCCACAAATAATATATACACGTCTTTATTGAACTCCCACATTTTTTGAAGGGTCTGCCTAATCACAAATATTTGGTCTGTTGTTGACCTGTTTGGTCTGAAACCTCCTTGGTAATCCCCTATTATTTCTTCCGCAATCGGCTTTATTCTGTCTAATAAGCAATATGCATGAATTTTATAGGTTACGTTTAATAATGCAATTCCCCTATAATTGTTGCATATCTGGGGGTCGTTATTTTTGTGAATAGAGCACACTAGCGCAGTATTCCACTGCTCCTGGAGTCTTTCCTCCTGCCAAACAATTTCAATAATACTATGTATTTTTGATACTGTTTCCTCATCTAATTTTTTTAATATTTCTCCCTGAATCCTATCTTCTCTGGGAGATTTTTGGTTTTTTAACCTTAATATTTGTTGTCTCGTTTCATTGATAGTAGGGGGTAGACATTCGTAATCGTTGGTTTCTACTAGTGTCCATTCAAAAGTTTCTTCTGGATTTTCGCAGTTGAGCAGTTGGTCAAAATATTGTCTCCATTTTTCCAACATCTCTTCCTGTCCTGTTGTCAGTGAACACCTACTAGATAATATAATAAATACACTTTGAGCACTATATATAACTGTTATTGCCGGGATCGTATCTCGTAATATCATTACGATACGCACGTAAACGAACTCAATCGAATAGGATTCGGGATCATTTGTCTCCGCGGTCCCGACAGGAAGCGACCGAATAACAGTCGATAACGATCGGAGACTGCTCGACGTCACGCAAACGTAAATTCAGGTCTTAAATACGTTTAAACACTGCAGGATTTGCGCGCTTTTGAGAAATAGACATTTATAATCATACACCGAAGATCATCCAAGTGAGGAACAACCGTATATATCGGAAGTGGACGGAGTTTAATGAAGGAAATGTAATCGAACAGCGATTAATTTTGCCCGAAAATGGATTGTTTTAACTGTGGGCTTTATCGGTAGGTCCGATTACTGTCGGGTGTGCCACGGTTCTGGGAGAGATGTCGGTAAAGAGAGTACAATGAAAAGAGTAAGATAATTTTTTACATCTGTACGACAAACCGTTGTTTGCGAAAAACGATTCTGAACAGAGTATTATTGGTCGTATTTTTTTTTTTTTTTTTTATTGTTACCGAGATAATCCGATAACTTTTATTTATGTGATTCCACGAAAATTGAAGCGTTCTGCCGTTATGTCGCATATGGCCAGACTGCGGATTTAAATTCGAGTATTTTAATTCCGTTTATTCTACTGTTATTGCGATATTTTCCTAACTCTAAATATTAATATATGAAAACGTTATGTTATTATATGCGGCTGAAAACCCGCATTTTTTTCGGTTATATAAATATTATTATGTTTTTTTTTTTTCTATTTCCAAAAGGCTGGAAATTAATCGAGTGTAATTTCAATTGAAAATAAAAACCCCAATGTGCAATAAATGTATACTCCGTTCTACCCGTTTTACCGGAAATTCGCGTTAATTTTACCGGTAAATTTCGCGAGTCGTCAAGTTGTCTGCCCGACAACAAAACACGGTGGTATCGCGAACTGAGCGCGCGATATTGTGCGTATTCTTTTGAAATCGCACCGACCGACGGCCGCGGCGGACGTTACCCGTAATAATAATAATAATAACGTTAATCCGGCGTGTATTGTATACGCGTAAATATTATATTATTGACAAAAAAAAAACCGCGGATCGTCGGCGGCGGCGGGAAAACGAGTCGCGCTTACGCCGGCGCTGTCCGCCAACAGCGCGACGGTATCGGGTCGCCGTATAATTAAGGGGCACCAGATTTAATTATAGATACGATCAGGTGTGCCAACCCGCCCGCGAAACGGGGACCGGGCCGGCCGCGCGACGTATGCCGGTCGCCGCATAAATAATATACCGTACACGTATAGGCGTATATATATTTACATATACATTTATATAGATATATATATATATACATATACGTATATATGAACATCCCGCTCGGGCGTTAAAATTAATTTTCCGTTTCGTTATCGAAAATCGGCCGTCCTCCACCCCGCGGGCCGACGGTAACGCAACTAATTAACCTCCGGTCGCCGTCCGCTGGAATCGCAACGATAAAATGAAAATAACAACAACAATAATAATAATGTTCGTAATTCAGGCAGCCGCCGCCGGTCGTTCCGTCCGTCCGTCCGTCCGCGAGTACGACGACGGCGAAACGCGATTCGCGTCCGGCCGGTTATACGTCAGGGATATCGGGTCTGTATACCGAAACGCGTCGGTACCGGGTATCTGCCCGTTTTCGGAAACGAGACCGAAAAAGACCACCCGGACCGCCCGGGACAATCGGGACGGGCGCGGCCGCTGCCGGCGGGTGATGGGTCGGATGGGTGAGGTTGGACGCGTAGGAGAAATTCCGTATTCGCGAGCCGACGGTAAACCGCACAAGAACGTTTTTTTTTTTTTTTTTATCGGCGTTTGACATTTTGAAAACACGGGTCCGGAGTTTTACCGTTCGACGGCGGGCGCGCGATATCAACTCGCCGAAAACCCGTAGCGAATAGACGGCCGGGATAGAGTTCGGGAATTCATCGCCGCGCGCACACGCGAACCCGAACGATCGGGCCATATAGTTAACCGTAAACGCGCGTAACACCGTCTGCGGTCCATCACGACGCCCGCCAGTTTGCGCGGAAAATCGAATAAACGTCTTCGCGAAACCGATACATTCTTTCGCCAATGCGGCAATCAAACGTTGAATCGTCACTCTAATAGCGTCCGAACGGTCGCATTTAGATGTTCCGAACGGAGCGGAGCCGCGCGATTGTGCGCGAATTAAATTGCATCCCGTCTGCGAAACCACGTTTCTACCGGACGTCCTGCCGCTCCGGTCGCCAAACGACTGGCGATACTGTTCCGTTGCGTTTCGACTATCGTCGGTGCAATACGAAGGCAATATGGATCGTTGCAATATATCCGGAAACGGGAAATATCAAAATGGAATTCGATACAAAAGATAATTGCGGAGAACTGAAATGTTCGCGTGAATATTTACATTAGCCTATTTAAGACGTGAAATCGGCAAACGCCGAAGCCGTATAAACGCGAATTTTATCCGTCAGTAATTACGAGTGGATTTTTCGAACTGGGAAATTGTGTAAATCGCCAATTGAAAACATCAGGTTGCGTAAAGCCCGGTACACACTAAGGCCATCAAAGAACGACACGTAAGTCGTCTGTAATGTCCTATTGTTCCGTAACGCGTGAAAACAAATTGCAATATTTGAAACATAGCGTACGCGTTAAGGCAACAGAATTACAGCAACGTCGATAAAACAGATGGACTGAACCGAGTCCGCACCGATAAACTTGTAGCTACATGTTGCTTGTTCGCCAAATTATTAATACTGTTTTTTAAATTGTTTTGTAACGGTAAAATGTATTGCTTTCGATCGAAACAATGAGAAATCTTTGTTAATGAAACATTTAGTCACTGCTGGAAATATATAGGAGATTTGGTTGTGTCGACATACTTCGACTTAAAAAGCTGTTACGTGTTGCCTTGGTGAGAGTCCAAACTTCCCGTCGTATCGAAACGCCAAAATTCGTATTACGAAAGTGTCTAAATCCTTGGTTTTAAAGGAACACCATTAGTATTTGGCACGTATTGGGTATTATAATTTTAATAAGTACTTAATGTCAAAAACACGTTTATATATGATTGTTCTTGATTTTGTTTTTTGACTGGCCACATTTAACCTTCTCACCGTCGGGTTTTTCAACAGGAGAGGGGGGGGGGTGGTGGATGAGTTTTACATTTTGCCAACATCATTTCATTGAACATAATGCCGAATACGAACAAAGGCGCTACGCCTACTATAATAATAGCATGATCGTTTTCTCTTGTTTTTCGTATCCGCGGTATTATATAGGAGATTTGAGCAAAAAGTGTGTGCACGGCCAATATAATATTAATATCGTATACGCCGGCGGTGAATTGTGAATCTCGCAAAACATCGAAAATGCCGGGTTGATGTTATTTTTTTTTTTTTTTTTTTTTTTTTTTTGTTTTGTTTTGTTTTCCTGTTGAGTCGACCGATGTCTAAGCCGCAAACCTAACCACGCATTCGGGTCGAGTATATGTGTAATACCATTATCATTCGCCGACTTCCGACGGTAATAATAATTTATAACGCAAGTACACCGAAATACGCCTTGCCGCCTTTTCCGGGGGACTGTAATATATAAAACGGACACCCGCGCGGACGCGTCGAAATTCGATAATTATTATCACTCGATCTGACCCTCTCGGCGCGTGGGGCGGTCTGGCTCACGAATATTCTACTCGGCTGAAATATTTATGATTTAAGCCCCCGACGCGAATAAGATACAAAAAATCATAATTTATAATATCGTTCGTGCCCAAAAATTATTAATGTTACAGCGTGTGGAAACTCCAGTGTAAAACCGAAACTGTATTATATTCCATTGTAAAGAAAATAAATAATTGTTAAGAAAAAAAGGCGCCCGAGGATAATATAAAGACGGGTGCACAGCCACCGTTACAGACAATTTAATGTGCACTCGTAAGCAACGATAAACCATCATTGCTTACGAAAAAACGATTCTGGCAGAAGTTCAGTTGATATTGATGGTTTGTAAACAATATACAGTATATCTATATCATTTTATAGTAAAATAACTAAATAGAATTTATATATTTTCTTTGATAATAATTGTTTAATGTTGTACCGATGTCCCCGGTTTTCCTACGTTTTTCCTGGTTTTCTTATGTTTTTTTTTTTTATCTATTTTCCACATTTGACGAGAATACTCCGGACAAAATCGAAAAACGACCTCTCTTAAGTATCTAAAGTATCAACCCCAATAAATTTTCTTGTAGACAAATTTCCATTATTAAAAGATGAATCAAAATTGTCGGCAGAAAGGTTGTGCACAAACAAAAAAAAAAATAAAAAAGATAATTATCTTAGTAAAACCATAAGCTTCTTTGCTCCGCTCAGAATCTAAAAAGAACAAAAGAGCAGCGGAGCTCTATCTTTAGATACGAAATTCCCCTAGCTGCTATTATATTTAATGTTTTTTTTTTTTTTTTTATAAGAATAGGGAATTTAAAAACAAAATTGTTCACACTACGTAAAGCAATTTTCGAGAATTCTTCATACAAACATATAAACCGACGGTGGGTTCGGGCGTCGGAAGTTCAAACCTCCCGAAGCATATTTTAATATGATCATTTTAACCAAGTCAATTACGTTTGTTACGATATGAAGCATGATTTGTTACATATGCACGATGTAAGTATTTATCCGCCGGCTACATTCTGATGGTCTGTAGGTAGGGGTGTGCTCAGTTAAACAAATACATCCGTCTATGAATAACATAGTTAAATTTAACCAAACGGTTATAGTTTCAATTCACATACAAACAATTATTTGGTCTAGAGAGAACCGCTAAAAGTGATTTTTCCATGAAAAAAGACATTTTATACATATTCATATATTATACAACAGACATAATACACTGAAATAGTCTCTATTCTCGTGGAAAATTCGACAAAATTACAAAAAAAAAAAAAAAATAATAAAAACATCCTAGAACAATGGAGATGGATGCAGCCATTATTGCTAACGTAAAAAAGATTCTGATCGCCGATCGAAGTTCAGTTGATAGTGTAGTAGCTTTGTCAACAATGTATACGTCATATTATGGGAAAATAATTGAATAGGCATTTATATTAGCGTTATACATTTCATCCTGGTTTTTCCCAGATATTATATGATGTCCGTTTGGAAAATCAAAAAATGACCTACCAAAAATACCATCTGGACAGCAAGACCCGTTCATAAACGGTGCCGCGCACCATATCTGAGGGGCAAGATTTATGGTAGAATTTGTGTACACCGTATAAAAAAAAATCTTAGTAAAACACATTTTTTCTTCGCTACACTCAGAATCTAAAATCAAAAAGAAAAAAAAAACAACCGTATGTACAATATATATACCTACTGCTGTTCGCTCACACATACGTGCCGTGTCAGTTACGACAAAATAACAACGATTGATTTTATTGTCCTGTCTCGGAAGGCGTTTTACACGTATCGCATTATTGACATCGCCTCTTTTCTGCGGACACAGAGTGGCAGGCGACCGACTCGGAAATATCGTACGTGATTTAAGATTTATATAAACGGCGTCTGGGAAAGTCAATATGGTACGACGTCGGGATCAATTGAAATTTACGATTTTATTTCTGTCAGTCCTGCAGCATCCCACGCGAGGATTTCGGCGAGGTCCGTTTTTTTTTTTTTTTACCGCCACGAATGTATTGACGAAATTTCCTCACAGACAATATGGCGTTGAGTTCGTTACTTTGTTGACTCCGATGTATTCGTAAAAAAAAAAAAAAAAACGGTTCAAATTTTACAGATTCAAATTAAATACATTAATTTCATGCATATCAGTATTACAGGAGAGCCCCGTCCACATTATCTTCGGACAGCATTTTTTTTTTTTTAAATTTTCGTTCGCTAAACGTAAAACCGAATTAAGTATTTTACCGCAATTATAATGCGTACGGCGATCATTTTGGCGACACATCCTTTGATATACAATACCGCGGTATACACGAACACCACACAAGTGACTACGCATACTTACTTTCTTACAGTTGCATTACGTGTATTATACCGTGTGTCCCTTATTAGATTCGATGATCAACCAGATTATGGATACGATGTATTTCGACATCTATTCCTCGAAAACTGTACCCGCGCGTCCGATTGCCAATCCGATTTCCGATAATTAATCCGGCGTCTTATCGGATCGAAAACTAGATGAGGAAAATGGTTAAATGGGCAACACAGCCGATACGCAGTATACGTTTTATACTTAAAAAAATAATTGAAACGCCGCTAATACTATTAATACATCGAAACACTATGGCGTGTTTACAATATGTTACGGTTATTATGTCGAAAAAATGGATAACGTTAAATTTTCGTTCAGCAAATCCGTTTTCGTGCTGTTAATTTCAAGTTTCAACGGCACAGTCGATTGGCTTATTATCAAACTTAAAGGCGAGAATATGAGTCCGGCACGCAATTAAAAGCGATTGTACACAAATCCCGGTTTTTTTTTTTTTTTTTTTAATCGGTGTACCAATTTTATACTACAAATAATGATATGATATCACTAGGTGATCACGTCACAACTGTGATTTCGACCGTTATGTTTCACTGTACCTATTTACTAGTGGAGCTACCCGTGTTAAATTCATCGATTTAATGTATCCAATCATATCGGAAAAGAACCACCGTTGAAGAATCAGGATCGAACTCAAAAAAAAAAATAAAAATAAAAAATAAAAAAAATAGGTGATGTATATCAACAATACAACGGTAGAGAAGATACGAGGAATATTTTTCACAACGAATTTTATATCATTTGCACAATTTTAACATTCAATAATGAATAATTATCGAATAGGACATCAAGTGTACCTACCTATACACTCGATGACCGATGTTGAGTATAATAACACTACTTTATGTTGAATGTAGTGCTATTTCTAAGCTATTTTAAGCTATTTGTATTCGTTGTGTCAATTACATGTTTAATAACATTCATCATGTACGTATACTTTCAAAAAAAAAAAAAAAAACCAGTTCCTATAAAAATCAATTCCATGATTAGTAATCATTCATAGACAGTGGTATTATTATTATCACGCAATAGGTTATTGTAATTTTTTTTACCTTTTATTGATCATTTGATTTCCTAGCTAAAAATAAGATTTAACGAAAAGCTAAGCGAAGCAATGCTTTTAGAAGGATTGATACCAACATACCATATATTTGTAAACATGATAAATCAAATATTATTAAATTTGCAATTGTATATATGTAGAGATATAGTGAAGAATGACTAGGTAAAAAAAAAAAAAAAAAAAGGTATACAATCAGAAATATTAATCTGGGAGAATAAATGGCGCGAAATTAAAACTATGAAATCAGACACAGTAATAACAATTCTAAAACAAACACTCAAATACCGTGATGGATTTTTCCCAATTATAAAAACACTATTGCATTTATTCGCTATCGTATCAATTACCACACCTAGTACCGAAATGAGTTTCTCGTCATTAAAACGTTTAAACAATTGTTTGAGGTCAACCACAGGTCATGAGCATTTAAATGGCTTAGCTGTTTTAAACGTTCATAAACAAATTCCTATAGATATCGATAAAGTAATTTATATATTTTCAAGAGCCTCTAGAAGAACCAAGACAGTAGATTGGTCAATTTAATTAAATTTACCATGCTCAATGAATGTTTGTTACAATTATTATTATCAAATAAATAATTATAATATTATTATCAAATAAATAATTGTAATATGAATAAATGATGAATATTTTAAACTTAAACTTGAAATACCTATGCTTTTATGAACATGGCATTTTCTCGTAGAGCTCCCCCCCCTCTTTTTCATTTCCAGATCCGCCCCTGCCCGTATCATGTATGTTATATTATACGAGCACATCCGCCGGATTCTCGTTAATGTCTTCTTTCGAGGTGTATTTCGGTAAACGCGTAAAAAGACAAAGGAAAAGCCATTGACGTTCTCCTCGTCACATTCCTGTTAAGAAAATCGATAGTTGTATATCTTGTTTGTGCGAAAACTTCTTAAAAAAAAAAAAAAAAAAAAAAAAAATACAATTACCCGTATGGTTTTTCAATATATTATTATATATATGGTATATGCATGGTACGTTGTGAATATTTAAAGCCGAAAAAAAAAGAAACAAAACGTGTGGTGTGACTATGTGATATTATAGGTATACCCACTTCTACCCGTTCTGTTAGTGCGTAATATTCGCAGACAAAAAAAAAAAATCGTATTAAGTATTCAACGTGTGCAATAATACGCACAATGCAATTTTCTTTTCGGGAAAAAGAAAATTATTTATATGTAGGTATCTACAATTTTCTGTCTTTTCTACGAACCGTATAATAATATATATTATAATACGTTATGCTAAAGTATTTCGGTATTTTTTTTTTTTTATTTTCATATTTTTAATATGACATGAATAAAACCTCAGTATATTCTTAGTATATAATAACGAGAAAAGATACCCAACAATTCGAAAAAAAAAACGTGACCAAGCGCTATAATATTCGGTATATTTAATAATTGCGTATATACCGTATACGAGTGGTTATAATTTAAAACAACCTCAAGATATACACTCGAATAAAAACGTCTTAGGATAACGGGGACGGATGCAGCCACTGTTGTAGATAATTCAACGTGTATCTGTTAGAAACGGTTAACCGTTGCTAACGAAAAAAAAAAAACGATTCTGAGCGGAGTTCAAATGTTATTGATACTTTGTCAACGACACGTACGCCATATTATGGTAAAATAATCGAATAGAGGCATAATAATACGAACCTGTCATAGCTCTGTCTTTGTGTACCGGTTGTGTTCTCGTACCCGTTATATATATTCTTTAAACACGTGTCCGAAAACATGGTTCAACGTAGTCTCTCAACTGAAAATTACGTTTCGGACGTCCGCGCTCAACATGCTGTACATTAAATGTTATACCGTGTTACACGCTTTCGTCGTTCGCGTAAGGCCATCGATAGAATTTTGCAATTTCGAATGCTGTTCGATTTTCACCGTTCGCTTCGAGCATCATTGTAACCGAGACAACGGCGAAAATCAATGTGTACAATAACGCTGTCGAGCGGAATCGCGTCGAGAGGCGCGAAAATAGGGCGCGTTTGAACGATGTCGGGTAAAAAAAAAAATAGAAATGACGCCCGGGGGCGATTATCCCCCACCTTACTCCCCCCCCCTCACCCCTTAAATACGTTTCTGCGTGTGGGATTTGCTCCGGGATCTCCCCCCGCGTCCGCGTATTATATAAGATTATTATATTATGCTACGTCTTCGGCGGCTGCGGTCCAAAGTACAATATGGTAATTCTTACAAGGGTTTTAAATCGGCGGTACCTATATAGTATACACACACACCCACACACAACACACACAACACACACACACATATATATATATACGTATACATACGTACACGTACGGGAGGTACCTCCAACCGGAGTATATAAATATATATATACACACTTTGGTTTTGCATACTTAACGACGCGGTTTTCTCTCCTCGTCGCGATACGGTCGCCCGAACACGTGGCGGGACAAAAGTTACGGTCCTGCGATAATAAATTGTGTCCGAAACAACGTGCGGCCTCCGCGTGCACGCATACACGTATACGAGCATACCTACTGCCGCCGTGTACCCACCTACCTACCTACTCGCGTTTTCCGAATGTAAATTACGCGTTTTGGATACGCCGCAATAATAATATTATCGCGCGGGATACGGGAACGGTATATCAAATGTTATTTTTCGGAAAGGAACCGAAAATAAAAAAGAAAAAAAGTGAAACGTGACGCCTACATAACGAAATTATTACGCGCCGGACGCGAACATTTTGCCGTGGATTTATATCGACGCGATAAAACAATACGTTGTACCCGGAATAACATGATAACGCGCCTGCAGACGCAGTAACAATAAGTTTAGAGAAACGGACTCGACCACGCGGTGGTCAATACGCCAAACGATTTCAACCGCGCGGTGATTTTGTCTCGATTTTTATGTATATATATAAAAAAATAAATATCATTGAGATACGACACGAGATACCGGTTATTTTCTATAAATGTTGAAAAATAATATACATTTTTTTTACGAAATTGAGTTATGAATAAATATATATTTTTATGTAGCGTTTAGAGATTTTTTTTTTTTTTTAATTTGCTGGTTACAGCGATGTTTTATTGTAATCGTACTCAGGTAGAGAGCGATAATAGATTACGATAAGAATTTGGGACAATAAAACGGCCCGTGGCGAATTACACACTGTATACGAAATGAAATCCTACCAGACGTGATTTCGCATAACTAATGGGTGACAATTTTCGATTCGTTTCCTCCGTTCGTTTAATTCGAGCACCGAAGAAGAAAATTTACTATTATTTAATTCAGTAGTATTTTTTTAGATTTCAAATATTACAAATTTAAACGTTTTAACTATTTTTAGTCATATTAACAAGCTGTACTAAGATATGTTAGATAATGGGGACGGGTGCAACTACTGTTCTAGGTGGGAAGTTGGGAAGGTAGATTACAGAAGGGAATTTAATGTATATCTGTAAGCGACGTTAAACCATTGCTAACGAAAAACGATTCTGTGAGGAGTTATTACGGGAAAATAATTAAATAGATATTATATATTATTTTATTCAATAATATTTGTTGATCCGATTTCCCAGTTTTCCCGGATTTTCACATTGTTGGAAAAACTCTTGAGAAAATCAAAAAATGGCCTCCTTAAAATACCTTACCAGTTAGATTTCCTTTTGAAAAAAGTGCCACACTTTAAAATCAGAGTAAGATTGCTGGTTACATTATTGTAACACCATAAGCTTTTTCGCTCCACTCATAATCTAATATACAATTTCGATTCTTTACGTTGAGACCGGGCAGATTTTTTATTACATTCGGCGGGCAACTTGTATGGGTTAACCCACCAAGGTCGGTAGATATTAATGTATCATATTACTCATAATCAGAAGCCGAAACCTATACAAGATACTATATCGTATCGAGATTCGTTACTAATAATCTGAGAAAAATCGAAATATTGTACAAGAACAAACTTGTATATTAATATCGACTCTTTTGTTTCTATCTTTATGTACACAAATTAAATACGTATTGGCGTGTATTAATAGGTAGCATAAAACAATACAATAATTTAGTTATACTGTTCCAGTCAGTGTCTAAAAATTAAGACTGCCAATCAGACCGTATTTTCCAGTAAGCCACACTTTTTACACATAAGCTCTCTATATCCACGTACATTATGTGGTACGAAAGTCGTCTGTGAAATATGATCGCGTGGATTTTTAATGGGGACCACTTTTTCCGAACAGACACACGGCAATAAGTACGTTGGAAACCCAGTATAGAGAAGTACGATTTCGTTTACCGGGTGCCCAGTAGAAAATAACCGGTAACGATCGAAATAGTCGATTTCGTAACCAAAACAAAAAAAAAAAATATTAAAAAAATACTATAATTCATACCACGCGTGTTGTATAGGACGTAATACGCTCACTCTGGCTGACGGAAGGGTAACGGGGAATACTCCAGAGAGTTGAGGGAAACGTTTAGTAAATACCTGCTCGCGTAACGTTTTTTTTTTCTAAGGCTTTATAGGCAGTAGTGGACACGCAGCGCGGGGAAATTCGGACTAATAATGTCGTGTATTGCTCCCAAAGACGGGTAACAATAACATAACATTGTAAACCGTATAATCGATAAAAACGCGGTATAGGTACACGAAATCCGATGAAAACGCGCGCACGGCTGTTGTAATACGCGGACATTTACGCCGGATCGTATCGTATAATACCGTTCGGCAGTAATAAACGCTCGGCTATCGCGTAGTCTCGAATTGTAAAATGTGGCCAATTTACCGAGAACCGCGTGCGAATAAAAAATTTGTTTTTTTTTTTTTTTTTTTTATTTGTCGTTCCGTTACGATTCCCGCGGTCTTCGGCGCGGAATATAAAAATATGATATCCGTATTCGCGTTTTATTATTGCCATCGTCTCCTGTATCTCGGACGATCCGAGGGAGAACCGTCTGGATCCGCGTACACCCACTTGCCTCTAATAAATAAAATACACATTATTACGTATCGGATTTCAAACGACGATACGGTATCGGTGCAACGTGCGCGCGTTGTTTTATCGGCGGACCGGGCGCGGACGAAAACGCAAACGTATTTGACACACGCGCACGCACGTACGTACGGCGACACTACTACAGTTGCTGTCGTCGGTAATTCAATCGGATGTTCCGACCGAATTGCTATCGCAGTCGTTAGTAAACCGAACAAATTTTTATGTGGATATTATTTTTCGTATTATATTGATAATATCATGTTCGTGACGCGATATTCGAAGGTCTTCATAACCGTACGTTTGGATCATTATAATGTTGTCCGATTGTGTAATCGAGACGTGCGTGGAAAACACCGCGGCCCTGCGCAGTCGTTTTTGAAGTGTCTCAATAGGCTTTTCATTTTGCTTCTTCACATTCAAATACCAAGCGTAGAGGTAAATTTTAGATTCTGAGTGGAGAGGGTGCATCACTGTTGGTTTTAGAATGATCTATTTTTTTTTTTTCTGCCGACACATTTACAACGGCAGTACTTATTCTGAAAGGAAATCGGACTGAAGAGGTACTCTTTGATTTTCCTGAGAGCTTTCCCAGAAAATGGAGAAAAAAACGGAAAAAAATAGGAAAAACGGGATAGGTACGATATTAAACAAATATATCGAATAACCCAGTCCAAATCGTGTCAATAAACCTGTCGAGGTATAACTGTGCAATTATTTGTCGCAGAAATGATGCTAAGATGTTCTTTTAAAACATGTAAACGCAATAATGCCTTTCACCAAACATTTTTTAAACAACACTTTTCAAAATCCGTACAACTTAACTTCAAGTACGTTTTAGATATGTTTATTTCTAATACATCAAGAACCGCAAAACCGTTTTTATAAACATCGAATACTTGAATACGAAAAATAAAAACTCAAAAAACGAGAACATTGTTCTAGACGCCGCCGGGTATTGGACCTGAGACCCTGTATATCCTAACCTAATTCACCTAAATTCTTATCTACCAGACTACTTACGTAACTGTTAAGAAGAATTGATTTTATTAAATTGTATAATAACATAAACAGTAACATCCGGGGATATTGCGGAACGGGGACCTATACCTCCTCTAAAGAGCAGAGACCGGTGCCGGGGGGGTTGAGAGCGCCCCTCTCAGCATTTTTTTTTTTTTTTGTTTATTGGTTATTTCGGTCTCTTTTATCGATCGTACGGCAGGTCAGCAGAGAACAAAATCAGCATATTATACCTAAATAAGAATTCGTTAGATAACTAACGCACCGTTGTCGTGTTCATAGAAACTTTAATAGATACTGGCGCAATGGAAAATCTCGAACAAAGCTTTAATGTAGGACACGAGGGCATATTAATTATACATATTTCCTATTTTTAAAAATCGTGGCAGTGCAACATAGCATTGACCTAAACGCTGGTAGATCCGTTACATTCCGATTTAGTGATAAAACTGAACTAATTAAATATATATGTTACGGGGGAAAATGTGGCCGTTGTCTACTATGCCGTTATCTTAACAAATGCCGGAAGTTACAAAAATCATTTATAGAGTAATAAACACTATGTAGATTATGTTTTATTCAACTATAACCTATTTTAGTTATGTATTGCATTATTAATGATAATAATAACCCTTCATAATTCAAATATCATTATTGTATCCAAAAGATTATAAAGGTAAGATAATGGGGACGGGTGAAGCCACTGGTGTAGGTGGAAAGTTAAGAAGCATACGTACACGAATATAATGTATATCTGTATGCAACGATAAACCGTTATTTACGAAAAAACGATTCTGAGAGGAGTTTAATCGATAGTGATAACACAATAGGTAATTAGTGATAAGAACATTATATAAACAATATTTAATTTTTTATATAATGGCTTTGTATATTTTCTTTGATAAAATTTATTTAATGAATGTACCGGTTTTTTCCAGTTTTCCTATGTTTTATCCCGGTTTTTTACTTACGCCAGTATAAGCGGATAACAGTTAAGAAGAAAAGACGTCCTAGGACGAGGACGGGTGCAGCCACTGTTATAGATAATTCGAAAGTCGAAAAATTGACCTTTTTAAGATACCTCCCTTACCTCAGGTTTTCTTTCAGAAAGGTTGCTTTATGTAAAAATCGGAGCAAGTCATCTAGTAGATAAGTTGTTATCGGAAAAAAAAAAACAAAACATCTTTGTAAAACCATAAGCTTCTTCGCTCCACTCCGGATCTAAAATAACACTTCTAACTCCAACCGCCATTACACTATGTCGTCAATTCACATATTATTGTTTTATTGTACTTTCTATATGGGTATATTAAATACAATTTTCCTAGTTTACCTAACGTAAACCTCTCTCGAGAACAAGATGAATATTTTTCACTGCCCATAATAAATAATAATAAATTGATAAAACCATTAACCAATGCTCGAAATTGAAATTTCCACGAACGCAACAAAACTAATATGCCGTCATGGCGATTTTTCAAAAAAGTTAAATTTTATACGGCGTACGGATGTTCTAAATGTATAACGTACGCAACATCTATAAGAAAACCTCTTCAAGAGATCTCAGTTGTATTGCATTGTGATGTATCGTATGGAACACAAAACATAAATCGCAAACATGTTAGGCAACATAGATTGTTTAGTTGGTATAAACAGGCTATTCGCGGCAAACAGATGTGCGTCCGGCTCTCTTTGTTCTTGTAAGGATGTAGCGACAACGTTATTTGTTTGGTGTATAGGAAACCGCAAGAGTACAACGTAAACATACAATATGTTTTGAACAAAATATTTTTTTACCGTTTACATTTTTTCGATTTTTTTTTTTTTGTTTTTTCATTTCACTGAAAAATCGCGATTTAAAATCGGTCCAGTGTTTAAATTTCTTTTACGGGTACCTGTGTAATTATATTTATTTTTTACTAGCGCGTATAATATTATGCTTCCAATTTCGGACTATGTACACCGGTACGGGTTTCGGGGTTAACTAAAAAGAAAAAAAAAATACCCGAAAAATAAATAGGGGTCGGGCCCGACGGTTTAATCACATAAATATTATTAGATTTTATATCTGCGGTTATATCAGCGTCAAAAATAATTTGTGTATAGGTAAGTGAATAAATTAACACTTGTGAATTATTATTAAATATTCTCATTAGCATTTTACCGTATTGCATATATACCTAATAGCTATTATTATTATTTTACGCGTTCACGTCAAATATAATTAATTTAAATGAATACTTTTCGTCGGCCCTCCTTGAGTATTCGGTTTTATACTAACGCCAGTGTTTCGATACCTAACTTACGCATGTGATCACGAAAACGGAACAGGTTATACGCTCCATTAAAGTTTTAGATTGAAAACGTAGCAAAGGCATTGTTAAAATATTTAAAATACGCGTTTTGTTTAATTTAACCCCGAAAATTATAGACTATTGCAGTGCATCACGTCTGATATGTATCCTTTTCCCAGGAAATTTGGACACTTTCAGCAGTTCTCTCTAGACCGAGAGAGCTAAAACTCGGGAAATGGTGTTTTTATTTTTTTTTTTTACAGGCGGAATTTCTCTGTATTATTGTGGGGTTAGGGTGTTTTCTTTGGATTTTTACACCCCTACAGACCTCCGAAATAAAGCCAAGGGGATGGCATATTGCATACGCAAGGCCGGTATTGAGAATGTTACTTTTGGTGATATTGGAGTTTTAAACGCCTTCTGAAACATTCGTACGCTCAGATTTCATGTTTTCACAAAAAATATCGGGTTATAATTATCTTTAAACGGACTCGCGGAAGTAAGAAACTCGGTTAAAATATCTGTATACGCATAAATTGTTGCCTAAGACTTGCCTTTAGAATTTTTGAACTTTCGACCTTATCGTCAGTTTGTATTTGATTAAAAATCTCTAAAAAAAATTTTACCTATTTGGACCAAACCTTTTTGAATCCCATGTGATAAAAATTATACACATATTATTGATAATATTGTAATTTTAAAAAATCAGTTTATGGAAAATTTGACTCTAGTTACGGAGCTCTTTTGCTCGTTTTTATTCTGTTCCTCTTTGATAACACTTTTTTTTCGGTTAGTAAAAATGTCTCGCAGATTGCTTACACTGTATATATTAAATGAATCGGTAAAATAACGGTATATCGTAGGTTTTTTTTTCTATACGATTATCGGGTTTTTTTTGTTTTTTTTCCCGAAGTATACCAAGTTTCGTTCAGAATTTTTTAGTCGATCCCGACAATGAATCAGACTAAATCATCCTATGCCATGCAATTTCCTGATTTTCCATAAAATTCGATATGTATCAGTGGCGTACAAACATATTTTTCGATTTGTACATAAAAATCCACAGAATTTAGTTGTTTAACCTACTATAAAAACACATCAAAGACTATGTACACATTTCAATACGTTTGGGAAATTAAAAAAACGTATTGTACCGTCAATTATAATCCGCAGGAATCATCAGATGAAAATTTTTATGTTTATGCATTTTTCTCCCGCGTGTAGTCATAATTATAAATAAAACGGACATAACCCGCAACAATTCGAATAACGGAGAAATTAATACGCATAAAAAATATTGTTATTGTTTACTTTTTATTTTTTCTTTATACTCCGTGCCGTGGGTAGGCCACTGTTGTAGGTGGCTAAGTAGGTCGATAAGTCGCATATACTTAAATATATGTTAATTTACCGACCTAAAAAGTTTAGCCAGGCAAATGTGATTTTGTGTATGCACAAATACGTTGCACGGTGCAAATATCAATGACGTACCGTATTTGTAATATCGGCTTTCAACACTTTCCCGATTGTTTGTAGCGTTGACGGTCTGATAATTCTCGGGTTTGTTTTCTTAATGGGACTTAGTCAGAAATACCCGTGGGGAAGCTCGAAAAAAAAAAAAAATGCTATACTAGAAGAAAATCGGAGCGAAATTGCCGGCAGAAGAGTCGTGGGCGGGGAGAAAAAAAAAAAATAAAATAAACATAAACATCATCATTGTAAAACCTCGCCCCGCTCAGAATCTAAAAGTCATGTCCATGTTCCCGTACGCCGAACGGTCGCCAAAGACCCACAGACACCTACCGAAATTATTAATCGTTTCCCGTTTGCCCGCGCCGTTCGAACGTCCGTCCGTGTTACAAGGTCGCCGCGTCGTACCCGCCGTGTGTACTATCACGCCGGGCCGCATTGATACGGGACGCGTGCGCCGCGCGCATTTCGGTAAATCACTTTGAGTCGACGGTTTTATTAAACATCGAGCAGACACTGGTAGCGTTGTATAAGTAGTGCGGTATAGGGCGCACGATAAGACGTTTGATTAAATTTATAATCATGTTTGCCGCGGCATAATCATTTATGGTTTAATAATTCAATGTAGCGTAATGGAATTTCCATCACGAGGACGTTTTCTTGTCCTCGCGCCGAGAACAACGTCGGCGATTTAATATAACGTTTAAAACCGCGGCGGCGGCGCTTTGGAAATTAATTAATAAACCGTCTTGAATAGTTTATTTATTATTATTTTTTTTTTTTTTTTTTTTCCNTCCCCCCCCCCCCCCCCCCCCCCCCCCTTCGATCGTTGTTTTATTATTACGTTCACTGTGCAGCGAACGCGGCACTATAGAAGGCACGCACGTATTATATATGCCGCGTAGGTGTGCGACACGGTATTTTATGTTCGTCCGTCGACGGTTACCCGAGAAAAACCGCGTCCGTTCAAATATCGATAAAACTCATTTCGACCACGTTACGCGACCGCGATACGGACCGCCCGGACTTCAAAAACTCGTGGAATGGGGGAGGGAAGTCAAAAACGAGTCGACTACGTCGTTTTTTTTTTTCCGCTTATCTGTTCAATCTCCGTTCGAAAAACTCAATAGAAAATCGGTTTAATAGTAGATCGCTTTCGTACTGATATTTCGGTGGTGAGATAAGCTGTCCTAGGGTAATGGGGACGGGTACCAGTGTAGTGTTGTAGGTAATTTAATGTGTACTCGTGAGCA